AAGATCGAGGGTAATACGAAAAATGCTGCAAGACTTTTAAAAGAATACAAAGCGTCGCATCGCGTTTCTTTTTGCTTAAAAGTAAAACTGTAAAATATTGTTGCAAGCAAACACAGCAAAAAGAAAAGCATGAAATGAGTGACCGCACAAAAAATCTGGTCGCTAAGCTAAAAACATGTGATTGATCACGATTGATCCGATTCTATACGTGTTGCATGTTCACATTATCAGGCAGACTAAACTAATCCGATTCGATACAACGTTTTCAGGTGGCCTAAGTTAGTTCGGATCGAATTCGTTTTCGAATCACTTGCAAGTGTTCGCATTAGCCCTCATACGGACTCGAATCGATTTCGAATCTATTTAAAATGTTATTGTAAATGGTCCATAGAAACAATATGCAAAGAGCGAAATTGAAAGTAAGCTTTTCAATATTCGCTTGAAATTTATGATTTCTTTAAAGTCGATATTACTACATTTTTTTCGTAATTTTCCTCAACCGATCTTTTAAAATGAAATTTTTATAGTAAAGCGGTAGAAGCAATATCGATCAGCACAACAAGCTCATATCCAAATTTGTCATGTATATTCATAAATTTAATATATAATGGAAAAACAGGTGACCTATTTTTAACAAAAGCTATCTCGTAGGGAAAATTTAATATACACATCTTCCGCTATGTGGCAATGTATATCGACGGAACTTCTGCAATTTTTTTTAAAAAAATCCTTCTTTCCCATAGAAACTCGACGTAGATAACAGTTCCCTTAAGATACAAAAATTCAACAGATACAATGATTTGAGCAGAATTTATGACGTTTTGCGAAACAAATTGGAAAGCAGTAAAGGATGGTAAATTTATAAGTCAGTAGTCTAGAAGTATATGCAAAGCGTCCGTTTCGTAACACAAAACTGAAAACTCAAACTAAATGAATTTTATGAACGTTAAAAAGTTTGATAAAATTTAAGATCTCAATAATCAATCAAGTTGTTTTAGAAAGAACGCACGTAAACATTTTTTCCAATTTTTCTTATAGAAATTTACTATCGACAGAAGCACCATTCCAGTAAGATCAAAGCTCAACATCTTTATCTCATCTGAAATTTCTGACAATAATTAATGCATAGAGGTAAAAATAAAGGCTCCATTTATAAATACTTTCTCGCTTTGTGATCGAAGACCTGCGTTGACGGCAAGACTCTGTTGGATAACTCAAACTCGACTTTATTCGTGAATTCAATAAAATTCTTTGTAAAGCTTAAAGCAAAAGCTTACGTTCACAATGATCATTCAAGGCTATACAGTTTTTCTTGGTGAATTGCTATGTTGTCATGCACTATTGCTCAGTTGTCATGCACTGGTTTCAGCTATTGTGATTTTGTTGTGTGGACAGAAAAAGACTTGTTTTCATAAATTCCTTTAACAAGCTTAATGCATAGAAATTCACTTTTTTAGGTTATGGCTCAGTTGTCATGCACAGGTTTGAGCTACTGTGATTTTGTTGTGTGGACAGAGAAAGACTTGTTTGTTGAACAAATCTTGCAAAATAACGAATTTCTAGAAAAGAAGATAGAGGCAGCAAAGAAATTTGTGTTGAGGAGACTCCTTCCAGAATTAAATGGAAAATGGTACTGAAAACCCAAAAAATTGAATAAATGACATATAATGAAATCAAATGTTTTATTAATATTATTAGTACAATTTTAAGTGTATGCATGCAAAATCTTTTAAAAGATACTATTTAGTCATAAGGTAAGACAGAATCACAAATGTTAATTAGTGCACAGCTAACAGTAACTATTTTGTCAATTGTGGTTTGCTCATTTTCTTTAGAATTGACAAAATCAATTGGCTGAGTTTAACTCAGAAGTGCATATTTCTTTCTAATGTTTCCAATCACTCTTTCCACATGAATCCTGACATTAGCAATTCGTCTGGTTTGTTCAACTTCAATGCCACTGAGCTGGTTTTTTACCCTTAGTAAAAGCTGGCATCTTGATAGTTGCACAGTACAAACCAACTGACTCCTGGATATCAAAGCCTTTATCAACTGAGTTTACATCTCCAGGTAAGAGCTTATCAAGGAGACCACTGTTCTCAGTCAAATGTTTGTCAATGACTCTTCCTCCCAGCCACTGGAAACAAAGCTTACTGTACACTTGTGTAGTGACAGCATTTAAGTGCTTAATTATGTTTTGGTGCTTGTAGGATGAGCAAGTTTGTGCCCTCGCAAGAGGATTTAATGCACGATCCAAAAAAATCTCAAAGCAGTCAATGATGCAACACATTTAAGTAGTGTTTTCTAAAATCCATGGGCAAGGTCTTTCTTAAGGGTTCCCTATCAGGCCATAAAATAAGAGGGCTTAATCAATTATAAAGAACAATTACTTGTAAAAAAATTCTTGATACAGCTCCCTTGTTGATGTTTCCAAATCGATAAGCCAAATCTACACCAGTTAAATTAAGTCGCAGTTTCATAACTGTTAAAAGCAACTGCCTAAATGGTGACAAAGAGCATTTGGAAGAATGCATAAGGTAGAGGCGTACCAGTTCCAGTGTTGCTGACAAGATCTTCCACTTTGGCAGACCAGTGTAAGAGGACTTTTTCGTCATCATTTAAGAAGATTTCTCGTCAAGAGTCATGTCACTTATCTTGTTTTTTAACTCAAGATTTTCTTGGGTCAAGCGATTTATCTCGTTCTTCATTGCAGTTATTTTATCCAAACTCAGTTCTCAGTATGAATATTTGGTGTTCGATTCTGATCCGGACAATGAAGCAGACGTGGCTGATGGGACTCTGTGTTCTTCGTCTACATAATGGGTTCTCAAGGTCGATTGGGTCACTGCTGACAGTACTGTTTCAACGGATTCACTTTTTTTCGTTTTTCATTACTTTCCGAAATACGAGCATAGCTATTGACATCAACTTTTTCGACATATGTATGTCCAAGGTTTTGAGATGGAGCTCAGTCCGTTAAAGAGTTAGTTTGGTCCGTTAATGCCTATGGTTTCCCTGTGAACAAAACAACAAATGGTATAAAATGAGACAAACGAACACAACAAAGCTTTTTTCAACTCATTGGCTTACCAGTAACAGAATGAAGGCTACACACTCGTAAATGCGTGCATTTAGAATCATCAATGTCTGCCCGACGAATTCTTCGAGGCCACAAAGAACGACGTTCCTTGTGTAAATCTTGCAATATTTTGCTCGCATTGGTTTTCACATCTGGTATGCGATAAAAACTTAATTCCTTATCCATATCAGTACGATTCGAACAGCCATAGATTGCGCAAAAGTTAACCATACTTAACAATAATACTGCTTTGTTATTTACATGTCGCGTTTGCTTGTCCTCCAGATGTAACGTCACATGCAATGGGTCTATACTGTTTTTTTTGGCAATTAAGACATGTGCCAATAAAAACGCAAAATTCAAAACCAACCATAACCAACTTCAAAGCTAGACAAATCTATCTATAACATTATAAGATCGTGCCTGCCTGTTATAACAAGACTGTTATTAATGAAAAACTTTTCCTCAGGGGCGCCTGTTGCTGCTGTAAATGATTTTTCCAAAGTATGACGTTTGAGGCCAGTAGTTAGAGATTGTTCTTCTGGCAAGCGTTTTCTGTTGTCCAAGCCCCATATCATTACACTGTTGACGATTACATTCAACCTCGCTGCCATGCTGTTTTCATCTTTGATTGCGATAAAAGGGTCGCGCATCATACGCCATTAAACATTTTTTCTTCTTTATTTTGTTATTCCTTTTTTTCTGTGTCTCAAACCATCTTAAAAACTTTAAAATGTGTACGTAAATTTAGAACATGCTATAAATATATTTTATTTGAATCAAATTACGAGCAAGCAGTTATTTGATGGGCGATGTGTTTCGTTGGTCGTATCCAAACACGGTGATCGATCAATCAAAACAAGCGTTTTACATATGTTATATTATAATTTGCTTTTTCAACATTCTGCAACGTTTTTGAATATGAATTCACATTTTTTTTTACCTCTGTCGTCTTGAAATCTCCTTGACTAATTGTCACTATGTTGGCCTTTGTACGAGGGAAGGTCTTTATTTCCAATCCCTAATTTCACGAATCGACGTCCATCGAATTTTAAATTGTATAGATGTAGTAATATCCGTTATATCTCCTTGGTAGTGCCTATTTTTCTCCGCTAAGGTACTTCCTCTCATATTTATTATGTCAATTTTTTAATGGTTGTACTTTTTCATTGGTGATCAGCAAAGTTCCGTATTTAAAATGCATTTAAAAATTGATAACAGGGACGTACATTAGGCCAAAAATTTGTGTAATTATAGACTGCAGTCATTTAGGGTGACAAAGAAAATTCGCAGAAGCTCTCAAAATAAGCTATCTTTTGTTGAGTGAAATTTCAAGGAATTTTTTGATAAAGTTTCAAGTCATTTATTGAAGAAGAATAGATTTTACATGGAGAAGAACAGTTTCTTTTGCAACAGCTCTGACAGCGCTGTTTCGTTAATTCATGGCAACAAATGTAAGAACCAAAAAAAAAGGCTTTATTTTTCTTGCAATTGATTGAGTAATTCTTGGAGTGAAAATACGAATTTGTGCGTTATAATAGTAGTTCTAGAAGGTTTAATGAATTTTGCCCTTCCCATATTACTATAGTGAATATGCAACCCCCTTAGAAGAAATCAAGTAAGCTCAAAGGTGTAATTAACAGAATCTACTATACTAGTTAGCCAAATTAGGTGTTTTTGAGCAAAAATGTTCAAATATTTCGCAAGAGACTAAATATATGGTTGGATTTGCACATTTTCCGGCTTTGCAATTCAGTTCCGTTCAAAATTGAAAATGTGTTTTCATTTATTAACATACACTGCGTCATACAGTAGCAGTCTGTCTGTATTCCCTATCCTGCCAAAATTCTCCATAATTTCTAAAACAATGGATTTTATAGAAATTAAGTAACAAAGAAAGTTGAGATTTTATCACACAATATATTTTTTTAGTAATTTTATTGAATTTGACAAAAATCTGTGCATAACCTATGAATGGCAAAGATTATTATAATGTTTGTTTCATTTTTCCCTTTTGCTTGTTTTTTTTTTACACTGTGATAAGTATTTATTATTCTAATGTACAGTGTGTGTGCATTTACTCTGTTATGCTAATTCAAAAATTCAATAATATTAATGTACAAATCAACCAATTTTACTTAAATTTGATGACATTGTTACAGAGGTATTACAATGTATGATAAGTGTAGAATTATGCCTCGATATCGAAGTAAAACGTACAAGCGTTAGTTGTTATGCGTTTGTTATGAATAGCTTTCCTAATTATTTTACTTATTTAGATAGCTTTAAAAGATCATTACAGTTCATGAGTGTCAAAGTGTAGCCAGGTAAAACTGTTCAATTACTGATCGTTATTTATCCAAAAAATTCCTGCAATGATAGAGGAACTAAATGCATTAGCCATTTTTTCCGTTCTGATGCAAATCTGCTCTTTTTCAAGTCGTGGGTTGCCCTCACCTTGCCACATTGGACCTTTGATATAATCACATGCATTTGCCTCATTCAGCAAATCTTCTGATATATTCTTTTTTCTTTTTCTATAGTAATCTGTTATCGATGTCCAATCATTGGGTCTGTTTTCAGTCGAAAGATCCAAGCACTTCCAACTTTCTGGGTCAGTGAGGATGAACATGATTACCGCTGGGCGACTAAATCGCATGGCAAACTGCTTTATTGCAAAGTCGCAATCTTTGGCGAGATAAAATCCCACTCCATTTGAGAAATCACATTCGACCTTACTCGCGCCAAGAATGATCCCACCATCAATGATACTTTTAGCAGCTTCATGATCTGTGCCATGGTAATAGATTAATGCGTTTGAATCACTTGGCTTTATTTTATCTATTTTATCCTGAAGAGCTTTTTTGGCATCTTCTTCATTTTCTGTATTGAAAACATTCACGGTGTATGATCTTCTTCCTCTTTTTTCAGATCGTGATGGGCTGACAGTGAACCATTCATTCATAGGCGATAACGGGTAACTGAACAATGGTAGTTTCTTGTTGAACTCTGGGTCGTACTTAAAAACATTCTCGACATAAATTTCAACCCAAACTTGCAAACTTTTGTGTCCTGGAACAGGTATGTTTGTGATCCATTGATCAATTTCAACAGCTTTATCTTCAGTAAATCCCCTCTTTTGCAATTTATCTTTTCGGGTCAGAGCTTCATCATTTCTAAATTTTTTTTCGAAATCTTTAAGGATGCGCAATAAGCAGGTCATTTTTCCATGATGATTTTTCATAAATGGAGTAAGATTGTTAAAGCGAATGACAATTTTATCGTTCAAACCAAGCACGATAACTAGAGAAAATTGAATAACAGATATAAGACATATTTAATTGAGTGTCACGGTAATGCTTTGCGCACTTAGTCATACAAAGGCAGCCATTTTTAGGGCACCCTAAAATGGCGCTACAATAGGTTCGTTTGTAGCAGTTTTCACTTATTTAACTTCCGGCATTTTTGTGCAATAATGTAGTTCATTATGAAACATTTAAAATACACGACAAGATTGTAAATGAAATGAAGATATGATCTTCGCACTTTGCTGGACAATTTAAGCAATTGTCTCATGAATTGACGCAACGGGATTCGAACCAATGACCTCTGCGGTGCCGGTGCAGTGCTCTGACCAACTGAGCTATGAAGTCACACAGTGGAGAGCAGGTCAATTTTGTTGGGCTCATGTTTTCTCATGTTTTTTAGGTCACCTGAATTTTTCAGATTCATGAGAGAATTGCTTAAATTGTCCAGTAAAGTGCGAAGATCATATCTTCATTTAATTTCAAACACCGCACTGCATATAACATTTTTTAATATTGTAAATCCATGGGCAGATGTAAACAGAGGCGCGCAAAATATTACCGTGCACTTATACTTTAAAGTGCGTTAATGAAGAGATCAATAATTCATATATCGTACATTGTTTCGACGTAATTTGTTCGTTCTCGTTTTGCTGTGGCTTTTCTAGATCTTTGCTGGCGACTTCTAGAATAATAATAAACGATTGTCATTCAAAGACCACTTGCATATAAAAGCCAAAAGTGATAAATTCAAATTTTTAAATTTGTGCATTGAATTAACCTTTGGTAGTTTGAGTCGGCATGATTTCTTTCTTATCATTTTGCTGTGGCTGTTTTAGAGCTTCGCTGACGACGACTATAAGAATGATAACGATAGTATGGGAAACATAAGTTTACAATGTAATAGGTTTCTTTACTCTAAATTATATTTGTATGACTGTTTTACGTCATTACATCCATAGAAATGAGATTGAAGTTTTGAAATACGCATGGGAGTGAGTAAAGAGGAAGGTAAACCATTTATTATCGGAATTCACACTCGGACATCTAGCAAAAGTAGGCGCATTCGGAAACTTTATACGAAGATGATTTCCGACACCCAAGGTTTATTTTTCGAATTGCGTGAATTGTGCGTGTATGTGCGTGATAAATGTAGCTGCGTATAAGTTAAATAAATACAACAGATAGACAAATGGTCGTAGTATTTTGAACAGACTAATGATCTAACCAAACTTAAAGGTAAGCGCAGTATATTGTAGTATAATATATATTTATAATATTGACATGTTATTCAACACAGTTGCATTCAAGTAAAGAAAGACAAATGGTTTCCTGTGATTCTTAATCACTATTGTGATCAACAAAATGGAAATGTTTAGCAGTTTAGAAATTAAAAAATTTATACCATTACACATTTATTTAACTTTAAATGTGTTGAAACCTAAAAGCATAAAGCAAATTAAAGCACAATTTATTTTGAACTTATTTTGCCCACTGGTGTTTCATATCTAAGCTCCTCATCACTTGTTCTATAAGCCCATCTAAATGAACTTATCAAGAAAGGTAAGATAACATTGAAAATTCTGGACATTTTATTCTCCATTTCCCTGGTTTTTTGTTAGACGTGGGTTTGATATAAACATGTCGGTAAATAATTACACCTAAAAGGAAAGGCAGCTGAAGACATTCATGAAGAAGAATGACAATAGTAAAAATACAATAAAACTCAAAGTTTCCCTCAAAGCTCTTCACACTGGAAGTTTAATTGGTTATTATAAGGTTAGCAACGTCGTTTTAAGTTTCACTTGAACGAATGGTATACGGTCAAATGGAAGCTGGCCATCTTCCCACCAAACCTTGTGATTGGCACTTGTGAGATCTAACATTTTTTTGATTAAAAATAGAGTAAGTGATTTCATTTAGTTCAAATTGAACCATTATATTCAACATTACTGTGTGATTTATGTGGTTGTATACTGTACACTTTAAACAAAACCCTTTTTAACGAAAAACTGTGCTTTGCCTTTTGCTCTTTTTTTACACTAAAGTACTACCCACAGTGGCGTAGCTAGCGAAAAACATTTGGTCGGGCTCACGAGGCGCCACCATAGTTGGCGCGGAGCGAGAAAGTTTTCCGAAGTTAGACTCCCTAGAACGTCGGAAACGGCTATCTTAGAAAGCAAATGCGTGATTTTTATGCACAAAATAGAACCATTTTGGTTAATTTAAATTGCCGAAGGATCTTATAGTAAAGCGGAGAAATAATTCAAAAATAGTTGCAGTTATGTGATTTATTTTCTCAACACCACATACATAAATAGATACCTATGTACATCTTGTAAAGAAACTTTGACAAAAGAACCGAAAAAGGCTCAGATTTGTCATCAACAACTATCAAAAGTTGTGATGCCGTTCAATATCGTGCTGAAATGACAATCATCATTGCCTGCATTCAAAAGTTCCCGGAAAAATTCTCACATGCCATGGACGTAAGACATCATCAGCTTGCTATCAGCCATATATGAATACCTATTTGTATAAGAAAGCAAGTCTTCGTGGTTTTTCAATGAACTTCTTTACTACCTAATCATGCAATGTGTTGGCGTCTTCTTTATCTGACAGTATGTCTTTGTGAATGGAAATCCTGCAAAGAGAACTAAAACGTCCTTGGCTCATAGTATTTCTAAAATAGTTTTTTACCCTCTTCAAACAAGAAAATGACCTCTCAACTGAAGCACTTGTAATTGACAAACCCCATTTATCTTTAACAGTTTTACAACTTCTGGAATACTAGATTGAAGATGGAACTGAAAAATATATTTAAATAGTTCATCGCATGAATCACGGTGAAAGTCTTTATCTCTGTAAATAAAGCAAAGTTGGCTAACTAGCATTGGTATGTCAAACATAACACCATAAACCTCCTTTAGAAGATTTATCTTTTCTGAGGGCACTTCACGTTTCCACATTTTAAACACCCTAGAGTTAACAAGGTCTAAAAATCTAAAACGCTCCATATCCTGAAATCGCTCAACCCTACTCACTCCATAATGAAAGTCAGTGTCCTTGTGTTGCAAGATAGAATAAAGTATGGATGACTGTCCAAGAGTTCTATGGAAAACAAGTACCAGAAACAAAACAAGAAGCCATTAAGGTAGCCAAGTAAACCAGTAACCTAACTTAACGTTTCATCATCCCAACCTATTGGATTATCAGTAAGATTTTCAAATATGTCTATCACTTTCTCATAGTTAGAATGCAAGACATTGATGACATGAGCCCTATAACACCATCTTGTGTCACCAGGACTAGGAAACTCAAGCCTATGGGATGATAGTAAAGCTTTTCTTTTGGGGGAATTGCTAGTAAAGGTGCAGAAAGCACTAATATTAACAAAGAAAACCTTAACAGGTGAAATGGAGGATGCAGCTTGACATAATACTAGATTTTGTCAATGGGCAGCACAGTGAACAAATTAACCATAAAGATAATCCTGCTGAACTTGAGCTTGAACACCATTGAGATGACCAGACATAACAGATGCACCATCATAAGTCTGTCCAATAAATTTCTCTTTCACATTATTATATTGACTTAACTTACCCTTAACCACTGATGATATAGCAGTTGCAGTCCTATCACAACTAACATCAACAAACCCAAGCTGTCTTTCAATGACACTTTCCCCTTTATCCATTCGAACAATTACACTCAATTGTTCTTTGGTAGAAACATCAGTTGCCTCATCAAACTGTATACCTAAGAAAGTGCAGCAATCTATTTCCTTTAAAATCTCATCCTCTATTATCTTATCAAGACAATCAATCAAATCATTCTGAATATCAGGAGAGACTCCAGTAAACCACCCTCCCCCAGCAAGGTGGGTTTCAGCAAGCCTGCCATGTAATTGCCTTTCAAAAACAGAATCCATCTTGGCAAAACTTTCAAGTAGCTCTCTATAATTTCCTCTATTCATGCTGCCACTAGATTTATCATGCCCCCTAAATGCAAGCTCTTGCCTAGACAAGTATAAAACAGCTTCTGTTATGGTTTTCAACATTTCCCTGTTTTGCCTTACCTCCTCGTTATGACGCTGAATCTCTTCACGTCTGGCTTGTGACACGAGACAGTCGACACGAGGCTGAAAACCGTAGGTCCTCCATGTCTTGTAAGCACCCGTGTGCGATTTTGCCTTCTCATGCTTCTTACAATCGGATAGGAAATTCTTCATGTTTTTGAATCCCGACTGCGTCCATGAAGATGACGATCCAGGGCAAAACAAAAGACAAGGCCAACAGAATATTACATTCTTTTCTGAGCTACCACAAAGCCAATCTTTCTTCGAGTATCAATTTTCCTGAAAGCTTCTATTGCCTGTAGTCGCTTGTAAATTTGGAATTGACCGCTGCTTTACGAGTATGTTTTGCTCGCCTGATTGTCGAACAGAAAATTGTTTCTTTTGTAGTTCACTTATTATATCGATTTCATTAGGCGAAGCCATTGTAATGTAAGTTATCACGATTTCCGAACGTATATTTCGAAAGCTCAAAATTCAAGTCACGCTTTTGAAATGAGCCCGACTAGATGTTGTTAAACGTTTGAGTGTGTTCACAGCTACTTTCAACCAATCAGATTGCAGATAATCCCACTATAGATTTTACTACTTGGTCGGGCTGAATTTTCAGAGCCCGACTAAACTGCGTAATGCCTGGCACTAGAAATGCACTAGTCATTGTTGCTAAGTAACGTTTAAAAATATGATAATTTTGCTAATAACAACGCAATTTGACAAATATTACACTAATAGACTGTGGATTATTCCAAAAAGAGTCGCAGAATTTAAAATTTTCGCAAATCCAATTTTAAAGAAAACAAATTTATTATTTTTTGGAAAATATTTGGTCGGGCTGGGCCCGTTCAGCCAGACCGCTAGCTACGCCACTGACTACCCATGAGTTGGTTTTCACCATTTTTGTGATGAGCGTAGTTTCCCTATTCCCTCCTCTTCCGACACACAACGTCGGACCGAGGATAATAAGACTCAAATGTGCATGGACATTATTATAGTACTTCATATATTAAAGAATAAGACAACAGTCAGGTTTCATATAACAATTTGATCTGGACAACAGAAATAAGGAAAGCATATAAATCAATATAGATTAGTTATATTTTGAGAAAAAAAATACAAACCTGCGTTCCCAAATTCTTTTTTTGTTTTATTTCCACAAAAATTAGTTGTGCTTGCCAACTCGTACTCTCTAAGGAGACTTTCAGCTTCCTCTACATTTTGCACAAGTCCAGAGCGTTCAGACAGTTTGATTTTAAATAAATAGTCGCTGCTGAAATGTCAATACTTTCCATATGTATAAATATGTGCTTGTTCTTATAGGAACAGTTTACCAGTTGAAACGTAAACAGAAATTTAGCTTCGTTTGTATTGTGTGGTGATCTACAATATGCAGAGACTGTTTACTATTTTAAATTATTTCTATTTTCCCGCGAGAAGTTTTAAAATGCCGCGAATTAAGGCCTTACACGCAAAATAATCACGCAGAATCCACGCAATACGAAAAATAAACCTCGGGTGTCGAAAATCATATTCGTAAGAAGTTTCCGAATTTGCCTACTTTTGCTAAATGTCCGAATGTGAATTTCTTTATTATCACAGGGTCCATAGTAAAGTGCGCACCAGGAAGTAAAGCAGGAAGTAAGTCATGTTGTCTGTGCTGAAAGAGATCAATAATTCATGTATCGTACATTGTTTCGACGTAATTTGTTCGTTCTCGTTTTGCTGTGGCTTTTCTAAATCTTTGTGGACGACTTCTAGAAAAATAACATACGATTGTCATTCAAACACCACTTGCATATAAAAGCCAAAAGTAATAAATTCAAATTTTCTAGATTTGTGCATTGAATTACTTAGAACAAACATCTTGCATTTTAATAAATAAAAATTGGCAAACACGATAAAGACATTAACCTTTTATACTTTGAATTGGCATGATTTCTTTCTTATACTTTTGCTGTGGCTTTTTTAATGCTTTGCTGACGACGACTATAAGATTTATAACGATAGTATGGGAAACATAAGTTTACAATGTAATAGGTTTCTTTACTCTAAATTATATTTGTATGACTTTTTTACGTCATTACATCCATAGAAATGAGATTGAATTTTCAAAATACGCATGGGAGTGAGTAAAGAGGAAGGTAAACCATTTATTATCACAGGGTCCATAGTAAAGTGCGCACTAGGAAGTAAAGCAGGAAGTAAGTCATGTTGTCTGTGCTGAAAGAGATCAATAATTCATGTATCGTACATTGTTTCGACGTAATTTGTTCGTTCTCGTTTTGCTGTGGCTTTTCTAGATCTTTGTGGACGACTTCTAGAAAAATAACATACGATTGTCATTCAAACACCACTTGCATATAAAAGCCAAAAGTAATAAATTCAAATTTTCTAGATTTGTGCATTGAATTACTTAGAACAAACATCTTGCATTTTAATAAATAAAAATTGGCAAACACGATAAAGACATTAACCTTTTATACTTTGAATTGGCATGATTTCTTTCTTATACTTTTGCTGTGGCTTTTTTAATGCTTTGCTGACGACGACTATAAGATTTATAACGATAGTATGGGAAACATAAGTTTACAATGTAATAGGTTTCTTTACTCTAAATTATATTTGTATGACTTTTTTACGTCATTACATCCATAGAAATGAGATTGAATTTTCAAAATACGCATGGGAGTGAGTAAAGAGGAAGGTAAACCATTTATTATCACAGGGTCCATAGTAAAGTGCGCACTAGGAAGTAAAGCAGGAAGTAAGTCATGTTGTCTGTGCTGAAAGAGATCAATAATTCATGTATCGTACATTGTTTCGACGTAATTTGTTCTTTCTCGTTTTGCTGTGGCTTTTCTACATCTTTGTTGACGACTTCTAGAAGAATAATGTACGATTGTCATTCAAACACCACTTGCATATAAAAGCCAAAAGTAATAAATTCAAATTTCTAGATTTGTGCATTGAATTACCAGCACAAAGATCTCGCATTTTAATAAATAAAGTTTGGCTAACACGATAAAGACATTAACCTTTCGTACTTTGAATCGGCATGATTTCTGTCTTATCATTTTGCTGTGGCTTTTTTAGTGCTTTGCTGACGACGTCTATAAGAGTTATAACGATAGTACGGTAAATATAAGTTTACAATCTAATAAGTTTCTTTACTCTAAATTATATTTGTATGACTTTTTTACGTCATTACATCCATAGAAATGAGATTGAAGTTTCGAAATACGCATGTAGTGAGTAAAGAGGAAGGTAAACCATTTATTATCACAGGGTCCATAGTAAAATGCGCACCAGGAAGTAAAGCAGGAAGTAAGTCATGTTGTCTGTGCTGAAAGAGATCAATAATTCATGTATCGTACATTGTTTCGACGTAGTTTGTTCGTTCTCGTTTTGCTGTGGCTTTTCTAGATCTTTGTGGGCGACTTCTAGAAGAATAATAAACGACTGTCATTCAAACACCACTTGCATATAAAAGCCAAAAGTAATCAATTCAAATTTCTAAATTTGTGCATTAAATTACTTAGCACAAAGATCTCGCATTTTAATAAATAAAAATTGGCAAACACGATAAAGACATTAACCTTTCGTACTAAAAAACATCAAATTTTACAATTTAACAATGGTTTTCACTCTGAGGAAACCATTGTCGCTAAAGTACTACTTGCATATATGCAAACTTGAACTATAGCTACAAAGATTCGTAGGAAAATTACTCAAAATTAAGAACTTGCGCCTTAATTATTGATTTACAAAATACAACTATATGTTACAAGAATTTATAATCTTATTCGTTAATGAGGGCTTCGTGACCACTCGAATTAAAGAAGACATCAAAATTTTGTTTTTTGATTATTGTAATTTTAAGTTCTACTTGGTGGATTTTAAAAACATCAACAATTAAGAGAATCTTACTTTTTTTTCTCTTGTTTTGTTCTGAAAGGAAGCTTTTCGGAGCTTCAAAGAAAGGATCTATATAAGTTTAACGAGATCATAATTATAGATGCATAAACCTTAACTAGCTGGGAAGAACACAATGTGTTTTAGTGGTATATAGTTTTACCTTTTTTTTGCTACGTTTCTTTGAACTATATATGTACGCCACAAGTCAAAATGTAAATATAAATTTTTATTTCATCATGTCAAATAAAAGTAAAGGTTTGCCTGATAACGTAGTTTAAAACTGTTTGATCTTTCATGGTATATTTTTACCATGCAGATGGATATTTGGATGGAAATTTTAAACATGGTGGTTCCGTCTCCATGGAAAAAGAAAGTGTGTCCACGATGACTGAGGAAAATGGTACTTTGAAAGTTAATTTTGCTCAAAAGATTATTGTTTAATGTAGCTGCAAAAATTGAATTTATAAAAAAGTCCCCATTGTTTCAAAATTGCAAAGTGATGAACAAATTGATCTTGATGAATCGTAATGAATAATATATTTTGGTAATAAATACCTTCTCGCCATCCATATTTGTAATTATGTGTACTTAACTTTTGACGGGCTTCGACACTTGCCATATTCTAAAAAACACAAACCTATATGAATCACAGTCTGTTATTCTTTTACCATATTGTTTAGTGGATTTGTATATCACGGGCAGAACCCCATAACTTATAATTTCTAGCAAGTGAAAATCTTCACTGTTGATATATTAGAATATGCAAACCTAAATATTCTCATTATTGACGTTTTGTGACCAGGTGGTACATGAAATAAGAAAATGCGTGCAATCATAAAGAAAACAAAACATAATAATGGTTGTTATTTGATCTTAAATCATAAAATGAAATGCCAAGCCACTTATCTAACAACTACCTCTTTCATGAATTCGCCAATCAATAAAAGTGTACAGTCTTAAAATCTTATGTTACCATTTTACTAGTTTTACAGCAAAATGTCGATATATTTGTTTACAACATCTATACAGGCATAATTTGATTTTGGTCGCAGGGCCTTGCACAAAATTTTTATTGCTTCCAGACATTCTTGTCTACTGTTTAACGCAAGAAGATTGTGAATTGGCAATCCTTAGAGTGCCATCCTCCCAAAAATTCAAATAAGCAATTTTTTGACCAAGTTAAAATTAAATAACTCGTAAAGCAGGAATGTGTTTTGAAGAAAACGTAATGTTCCAAAATATTTTTATAAACGCAAAAGATTTTTATTTGCAAAACGTTCCTGCATGACGGCAGTGTGAACAAAACAATATGTAATGTTACGTATAATAGTGCATTTCTCAGGTACGGAGCATCCTTTGCTCGTCAAATCTTAGCCTTTTTTTTACGCCCTCGCCTCAACATTCAATAAAATGTATTAAATCAAAGATAATGTTAATGATCGTCGTCCTGATGTTGTTGTACGTCAAACAGTGCCTCGTGTACCTTCTGCAAAACGGTTATCTCCATGGAATTAATTATTTTCTGCATATTCAAGTAACTTTTATTAGCAGAAAAAATTGTCGAACTTAAAACAAAGAACAAATAACAAGCCTTTATTTCTCTGAATGCGTTCAACCAAAAACAAACACGATAACATCAAGTTTAAAAGACACATCTTAAGTTAGGTATGAATGTACCCTAAAATATTTATCAACCAGACAACCAAAACCTGTATGCAAAAAGATAAAACGCTCACAAAAGATGAGTTTTAATCTGTTTGAGTCATACTCCTCAGTTTCATCTAATTTAAAACATTCCAACATATTTAAAAAAACGTATATAGCATAGTAATATATGTTGAGAAACATTAAATTAAATTTCCTTTTGAGGGCAGCTGTCAAGCTTCCCCTTCTTCCGGTACTTACGTCCCTTCTGTGAGTACGATAACTCAAAAAATTCGTAAAATAATATACGAAAATTATTGGAGTGCATGAATTTTGTATATGTCGCAATGACTATGAATCATTAATTATGAATGCTGAACGTTTTTATCTGTTAAAGATTATTACGACACTTACATTTTCTAATAATTATGAAGCACTTTTACACATCTTTGCAAATATCATTTCGTCTGCTTAAAGATTGCTAGCTTTTGTTTTTTTGCAAAACACAAGGCTCTTTCAGTCTTCACTTTTTAACAAAAAGTACGAAAAGTCTATAAGACTCGTTTTCGTCATGCTTCACGTTCATATATATGCTACAAAGACGGCAAGTATGTAGAGACTAAAGGGGGAGATGTCACAAAACGCAAAAAATCAATGCAAAACGGCTGAATCACACTGTAACTAGATTACTACTTCGGAATAACGTGTTATGGTTCTCATTGCTGCAAAGACGACCGGAACGACTGAGCAAACACAACAATGGTTTTTTATACGTCGTTTGTATGTTTTAACGGTAATGAAAAGGAGAATTTAATCTGCTCGTAAAAGAGCTTAGTATTCACAACATATAATATGCTTCCATGAGTATCGTTTGTTTCGTATTTCGTCCAAAAAATTGCTTTCTAAAAATTGGTTTTCAGTAAAAAATATTTGTCATTACAACATTCCTTACTTTGAAACCTAACTTTTAAACAAACTTTGCATTTTGATGAAAATATCGTTAAGAATCATATAAAAAATTGTCATAAAGAGGTTTAAAATAAAAGTGTTAATAAAATAAATTCATGATTAACTAATATAATCAAGAACGAATCAGGAAGAGAAACAACAGTTTGCTCTGACAAAAAGCGTTAAGTAATTAGAATTTGCTCAATTAAATACGATTTCTTCTAGAGAAAACTTTTTCCAAAACTGCTTTATAGAACTAAATACTTTCTTGGTGTATTGTATATTGTCCGTATAATATTAATGTAGGTTTTTTATCGATATGGTGAATAGAAAATAAATGACTTACTGAGAAACTTACTGAGACTTACTGAGAAACAATTTCACTCACCTTTGTATCTATGGATTGCAATGTCTAAAATTGCTCGTCAAAAGCAGGCTTCTTTTAGGTTCTCGTTTTAACGGAAATGATGAAAATGTAGAGAAACCTGGTTTTGCCCTTTATTAATAAATAAGGTTATAATGTGTTAAGTAAAAGTCCCGCGTGTGCCAAGAGTATAAACCAATAAAATTCTTGCCATAATACTTTCTCGCGTGGAAGTCACAAAACGAAGAAATACGATATATTGAAACTTGAAAACATTTATGTTGTCACACTAACAATTCGTGACATAGAAGTTATGAAATTTTGATTGTGAAGTGAATTTCTAAAGAAATATTTAAATTTCAAACGAAAACTGCAGGGAGTAAAAAATTTTGCGTTGGTGTAGCTCTATTGCGCAGTAAAAATGTAAATATATTACAACATTTCATTCTTTGAAATCTAACTTTTAAACAAGTTTAGTGTTTTAATGAAAATAGCGTAAAGAATGATATAGAAAGTTGTCAGAAAGAGGCTTAATCATACGTATAATGATACGAAAACATAGCACAAATATCTGTGTTAAACATTACTCTTAAAAATTAACCTGTGTGCTATATATATATACCACAAAATATATCATATTCAAAAAAGCTTGATATGTTTTGAAACGACAAACGTTTTATAAGTTTGCATCAACATTTCACAAAGTGTTTGAGACAGTAGAAACGATTTTGAACAGGTTGTCTGATATCAAAGTTTACAATGATTATTTGTGCGAATATATTCATTATAAAAAGATATGTTTGTTTAGGTAAGGAATGAAAGGAATATCTTATTGCGCGTACAAACTGTCATATATAACTTTCATGTAAAATGAATAACAATGTCTTTTCACACCAAACTTTCAACTGGATTCATTACTTTAGCTACGTTTGAACTAAAAGTGTTAATCAAATAAATTCACGATGAACTAATATAATTAAGAGCGAATCAGGAAGAGAAACAACAGTTTGTCCTAAGCAAAAGCGTTAAGTAATAAGGATTTGCTCAGTTAAAGGCAATTTCTAGAAACAGATTTTTCCAAAACTGCTTCATAGACTAAATATTTTCTTGGTGTATTGTAATTTGCCTGTATAATATTAATGTTGTTTTTTTATCGATATGGCGAATAGCGAATAAATGTCGACCAGTAGCGACTCACTGAGAAACAATTTCACTCACCTTTGTATTTATGGATTGCTAAAGTCTGAAATTGCTCGTCAAAAGCAGGCTTCTTTAAGTCTTCTCGTTTTAACGGAAATGATGAAAATGTAGAAAAACCTGGTTTTGCCTTTATTAATAAATAAGATTGCAATGTGTTAAGTAAAAGTCCCGCGTGTGCCAAGAGTATAAACCAATAAAATTCTTGCCATAATACTTTCTCGCGTGGATGTCACAAAACGAAGAAATACGATGTATTGAAACTTAAAAACATATATGTTGTCACACTAACAATTCGTGACATAAAAATTATGACATTTTGATTGTGAAGTGAATTTCTAAAGAAATATTTAAAATTCAAACGAACACTGCAGGGAGTGAAAAATTTTGCGTTGGTGTAGCTTTATTGCGAAGTAAAAGTGTAAATATATTACAGCATTTCATTCTTTGAAAACTAACTTTTAAACAAGCTTTGCATTTTAATGAAAATAGAGTAAAGAATCATATAAAAAGTTGTCATAAAGAGGTTTAATCATACGTATAATGATACGAAAACATACCACAAATATCTATGCTAAACAATAGTCTGAAAAAATAGTCTGTGTGCTATATATTTATACCACAAAATATATCATATTCAAAAAAGCTTGATATGTATTGAAATGACAAACAATTTATAAGTTTTCATCAACATTTCACAAAGTGTTCGAGACAGTAGAAACGATTTTGTACAGCTTGTCTGATATCAAAGTTTACAATGATTATAAATGCAAAAATATTCATTTTAGAAAGATATGTTTGTTTAAGTAAGGAAAGAAAGGAATATCTTATTGCGCGCACAAACTATCATATAAAAGTTGCATGTAAAATGAATAACAATGTCATTTTCACACCAAACTTTCAACTGGGTTCATTACTTTAGCTACGTTTGAACTAAAAGTGTTAATCAAATAAATTCACGATGAACTAATATAATTAAGAGCGAATCAGGAAGAGAAACAACAGTTTGTCCTAAGCAAAAGCGTTAAGTAATAAGGATTTGCTCAGTTAAAGGCAATTTCCAGAGACAGATTTTTCCAAAACTGCTTTATAGACTTACCACAAAAAACTTGAATGTAAATTAAATAACAATATATTTTTCACACCAAACTTTCAACTGGATTCATTGCGTTAGCTACATTTAAACGGAAAGTGTTGATAAAATAAATTAATGATGAACTAATATAAAGAATTGAAAAGAATGGACTTCAAAGGAACTTAATCCGGATTCATGAATATATGCCACCACCCAATTAACTAACAAGTCTACTACGCCACTGAGAATTGTGAGGGATTCTTTTTTGTTTTTATCTTTTAAGACTTCAAGAGTTCTTGCTATTATGCATGTTTTCAAATATGGGCAAAATATTGAGAGATATTTTTGAAAAATATGTTAAAGAATGTGTGTCAACCACAATGCATTGCGCGCTTTTGTTTATGTTTACATCGTTAATTTTTGAGTCATCAGTACACTTAATTCTAGTCCCCCAATATACGTCCTACAATTTAGCTGACAAACTCAGAAAAAAAACATTATTTAAAAATTTTGACTGTAATTGCGAGTGCTGAGTTGGTACAAACTATGAAACGGACACAGGTAGAAGTAAATTTCACTTTGCAGAACATATTTATATTAAAATGCTTAGAAAATACAGTTATTGCATGTAAAACTAAACGTTATTATTTTTTAATGGCGATTTACTAGTTTTGTAGTTGTAAATTATAGACATAGGACTATAGCTTCGTTTTTCTTTTTATTCAAAATTTGAAGACAATAAGCAGCAAATTCACTATCTGTTTCTTGTGCAATTCTATTTAACACTTTTTGTCTTATCTAGGGGCGGATCTACGGTATGTCAAATCAGTCACGCGACTGATGTTTATAGTTCAAAAACTATATAACAAATTTAATGATTACAATTTTTTTTGATCATTAAACTTTCGTTCTGTAATCGTTTGGATTTCATCGTCAAAATACTGTTTTATGTATGAAAACTTATATAAATACCACCTTAGTAAACAGATCAGAAAATAAAAACATATCTAGAGTTATATTAACTGGCTCACTGATAAGCGGAGTGGCTCGACTGGTTCGACCGAAAACGGAGTTCAAGATCGCTTATTTAAGCCATTCCATTTGTCAATAGCCAGATCAGTGGACGAACTGGAATAATCTCGATCGCTAAGCGGGGGCTGGACCGATAAGGGAGTCCAATTGCTATCGTTTAATTGGTTCGTTTAAATTTTTGTCTTACTGTGATTGGTTCCACCGATTTCGACTAATAGCTAACTAAACTAACACAGTCAAGCTCACTGTCTGAAGTGAAAGTTTGATCGTCTCATATTAATTTTCTAAAGCATGATAGAAACTAAACTACAATTACATGGAATTTATGGAAATCATTTACAAATTCATATATTGACATGAATGCTGCGTCGAAACTGTAAAAGATTTACCCTCATTTCAAAATATGTGTAAACAAGGCAATACAATGTCAGTTGTGGAAAGTTATTTGTCATCACAGCATTGACAAGACCAGAGAGTTTATGAGTCTAGAAAAAATTTTCCAAGATTTTCTTCTACTAATTTTAGTTTTAATTTGTAATCGATTAATTTTTTGTTATTCATAAATTGTTACAATTGTTAAGGCACGTTGATGAACGGGTTTTAATTTTTTTTATAAAGTTTAGCATAGTAAAACGGAAGACTGCAATTTCAGTTTCCATTAACGATTTCGAATCATCAAGCAAATTTATACCATGCATTTTTGGATGTTGCGGAACTTTCTGTGTGTTTAACAAAACAGTTATATAGGAGAAAAAATTTTCATGGTACATCATAATAACTTTTGTCTTCTCGTTTTAATCGTTTATATGTTCTGGTGACAACAGGTGTCGTCTTTTCCTTACGAGAATTTCACATTATAACTTGAGATAAATTATGTTACTGCATATATGCAGCAAACCAAAAAATATCTGAAGAAATTTTCAGCCAAACTTGTTGCTTGAAGTTGCCTCTGATTGAACAAAGCCTTCCCAAGATTTCGTCATTGAAAATTCTTGTTTCTCATCTTGAAGCGTTCTATATGAGATTGAACCAATAAATTATTTGCTGGGAGGATTTTTCACGCATGCACCATAAAAGCAATGAATGTACGAAAATAGAACTACGCTTTATCATAATTGCTAAAACATTTTGGATTTTTTCAAAACAATTATTGCGGATTGCCGCGACTCTGTTGCATATGCCTAAAATTTTTCATTACAAAGTTTGCTAAGGTAACTGTAAAAGAAATATAAATTAAACACAACAAGTTCAAATCTAAATCTTACATATATCTGAATTAAATATTAAACGTGCAGTGGCAGGTAGCCCACCTTAAAAGGAAAATTACCGTTTATGGAAAATTAAATAAATAAATCTGCTGCCATATATCAATGTACAGCCAACTAGTAGAAGGGAAACGAAACCAAGGCCGACCTCGACTCAGACTCAAAGATGTCATGAAACGAAATCTAAAGAGGAGAGACATCAACGTGACAACCTGGAAGCAACTGGCTGATAACAGACCGGCCTGGAGAGCTTCAATCCAACCATAGAACAGTCCTCATCGCTTACGACTGACTGCATGATGATGGTGATGATATCAATGTAGATCTAAGAAAGTCGTAGATCAATGCACTGAATTTCTGTATTTGTTATTCAACTGTGTCTGGTGTATATGTGTATTTTTCAATCGAAACTCGACGTGATCGGTTGAGGTCACTTTATGATTAGTAATAAAAATGTATTAATAAAAGCGGCATTCAGAGTTCTTTGTTTCAGTAGCAAGTGATCAGATCTCAACGATCCAACGATTTTATTATCTGCATCGAAGGTTTCCAAAAAGTTATTTTGAATACGTCACTGATAAGGAAACTTACACCTTCGAAAAGAATATCGTTGAATTACTTAATTGTCAGCTTTTAACCTATATCGAAGTGTCGATGAAGAATATTTTTTAATTGTGTCTAAGTTTATGCAAAATGAATTATAGCTGTTAATTTTAAACTAAGTACCTCCTTTACAATGTTATTGGTGATAAATATTCATTTAGTAAAGTCTAACAAATCAATGCACATTTGTTTTTTTTCCTGACCGCTAAATTTCCAATGTTGGTAAAAATAGTTCACGCATCTTCTGCATTCATTCATTCATCGAGAAATGCCCCATAGCAACGAATTCATGAAACATCTCTTCAGTCAAAATAATCTTTTACGAAATTTACTCTTTTTGCAGAACTTGTTTTACAATTTTGGACATTTATGTTCTTATTCACGTTAGCAATGTTAATTTTAAGAGCTATGTAGTCTTGCAATGCTAAAGTTAATAAAATCTTGCAAATTTTTAAATCTTTTAGTGCGGGATAATACGGCAGCTGGGAGTTTTGTTTTCAACCGACGTTTCAAAAACATAAAATAACGAAGAGTTAATGAGTTCAGAAATTGTTGTCAACTTGAAAAAATTATTTTGTTGTCCGCATTTTCTTCCAATAAAAGTTAGTACATGTGTTAAATTATGGATTTATATCCGTGGCAACTTCCTGTGCTTACATTTTTAAGTAAATTCCTTTTGTGTGTGAGAATGGAAGAACAAATTTATCGCGGAAGTTTTTCTCCTAGCAGCTGTTCTGATTTCAAGTATTTTTCTTATAGTTTATTAAATGTAACGTCAACGAACCTTCTTTTGTTGCTGGTGAACAAAACTTTATCCGCAAAATTTTTGTTCATCGTGTACTGTAAAAACCTTTCTAACTGTTTGAAGATTGAGTTCAACTTTGTGCGTTCATCAATTATGAAGGCAAAGAGCTATGGTGGAAGTTTGCACATTCATATCAAAGTTTGCAAATTAGCCATGTTATCAAAAGTTCCGACTCGACTTATGGATGGTTGGTTCTGTACAAATGCAATATTTTAGGTTTAGTTTGCAACAAAACATTCCGACATAGTAATTGCAGGCAAAGTTTGGCATTTCTTTCGCCGATCTGACTTTCGTCTTTTCTCATTTATGTAAACACTCACGAAGTTCCGTGGTCAGTTCTTAAAGCTAAACACTCACGAAGTTCCGTGGTCAGTTCTTAAAGTTAAACACTCACGAAGTTCCGTGGTCAGTTCTTAAAGCTAAACACTCACGAAGTTCCGTGGTCAGTTCTTAAAGCTAAACACTAACGAAGTCCCGTGGTCAGTTCTTAAAGCTAAACACTCACGAATTTCCGTGGTCAGTTCTTAAAGGTAAACACTCACGAAGTTCCGTGGTCAGTTCTTAAAGTTAAACACTCACGAAGTTCTGTAGTCAGTTCTTAAAGCTAATTACTCACGAAGTTCCGTGGTCAGTTCTTATAGCTAAAGACTCACGAATCCTGTAAGGTTGTTATAAAATCCTGTAAGGTTGTTATTCTTTCCTTTACTTTAAATACAGACGTGTTTTGTTTCTGCTCACTGCTTCCTCTTGGTCGGGTGATGATTCAGGAGAAAAATCTGTCTGCTTGACATTTGGTGTTTTTTTCTTTGTTCTGGCGATTGCCATTTTGGTAGTCAATGAATCTATGTTGGAGTTCAATTTGGATTCAGGTAATCTTTTAATTTAGTTGGCAAAGTTTTTCTCAAATTTTTTTTTATAACATAAATATCACTGAAATGAGTAGAAAATTGTGAAATCATTATAATGCGCTGAATGAGATGTCGTTATTAGATGAGAAAGTGCAGCGAATTATAAAGGGTTGGAAGAAAATTATTTTGTGTCAGCTCATTTGGGTCAGATTTGATTTGCCTTTCTCTGAGATTCACTTCGGATCATCTGACATTGATCCTGATTTACAATACTTTGAATTTGAACTAAACTAACTTAACTAACATTCACGAGCCCCGTTAATTCGATCTGCTTTGTTTGCTTGAAAACATTTTTAAGTCTTGGCACAGTATAGGAATATACAGTAGGTTCACTTCACTGTGCAACTGGCTCCTGTATATTTAATTAGTTTACTGGCTGCCAATGTTGTAATCACATTCCCAATAAGATATGCGTTGCAGGAAAAGATTCAATGGAGTGGCTCTACTGTATGTTCTCTTTAGTTTGGTCCTGGTAAGTCTCTGTTTGCCTGCTCCACGGGTCTTTCTGACCTTTAAATCAGGCTTCATCACTTGCACTTTGTTTGTTTCTTTTACATGGCAATAACACAGCTCTTTGTTTTTTTACGACTTTCGTCGACAGTTGAGTTCATCTAAAATGTTAAAACAACTGTACTTTAAAAGGTGTGTCCGAGAATCAAGATTCTGTATTTTGCCAAATACCGACGAAATCTTGTCTTTCTAATCAAGAAACATTAGTAAATTTTCACTTACTCCGTTTTATGAGCTTTCAATCTACTCCGAATCGTTTTCGTCTCATGTTTGAGTCGACCTTCTCTTTAGGTTACGAAATATTCTCTGAAGAAGCTGAATTATTTTTGAAGAAGCAAGGATTCACACGAGAGTAAGTCAATTCCTGACGACACGAGTCTCAAGAACGCGACATTTAAATTAAAACCATAACGAAGCATTAGTGTTCTTACACTTTGTCTCAATTGTCTTCAACAAAGGTGAATCCGCTCCAATATGGATTTTCAAACTCGCGCTTGCTGTTATCTCGGGAATTATCGTAGCCTTTCTCGCTTTTCCTGGCATTAGAATATCAATATTGTTATTGGATTTGATAGAGCAATACAAATCTAACAGGTTGCTTCTGTAAGTAGGAATACTTGTCTAATATGTTTCTTCTATAAGTAGTATTTGTAGCGTTAATGACATTAAATATTCATCATAAATAAATTGTGTTTATGAATCAGCTTCACTTTGTTGTCATGTATTGAGATAATTGGCTTAATATACGACCGCTGACCATTTTTTAAATTTTTAGTGTCCTTTTTTATGTAAATTTCTTCGCTCCTCTTTGTCTTGTTTTATTGTGGATCAAACCCTTGGCTCGCGAATACTTCACGAGCAGAAATAATTCATTTTCGCAAGTGAAGAAATGACTTCCCTCGTTCTTCTCATTATTTTTGTAGCTACTTTCTTAAACTAACGTTTGTGTATTTTATAGAGTATCGGACTCAAACTTTGATAACATTCGCATTGGAGTCATCTTACTTTGTTGTCTTATGCGGTTTTTCTTTACCAAAATGCATCTCCAGGCTTTCTTAGACATCGCCAAAGTTAAAGTGAACAGAATGAAAAGGGAAGCGGGCAGAACGAATAGTTCTGCTTTGCAAAAAAAGGTAAACATTTTTTTTTGTTTTATTCCCGACACTATTTCTACTTAATTTACGATTTTGTGGAAGCCACATTTTGTGAAATATTTGTTCTTCGACGGATGGACTGCGATGAAACATATTTAATTTTTGTTTGCTTCAATTTAAAATAAATGTTCAGATTTGTATGGAAATTCACAGTTTGTTACGAAATTAACGATTCGGCATTTTACTACGCTGGTTTTTGATTTTATTGAATAATTTAAGGCCAGTACGTGTAATTTTTCTTTACAATTAAAACGAATTTCCAAAAGCGAACAGAAAAATTTTGTACAATGCAAGAAACAGAACAAAAAACATTTAAGAATACTGGCCGGAAGAAAAGCATTTGGAAAGTGAGTTTTATTTTCTCAATATCCCCCTCGTGTTTCTAAAATTCTATAGAAACAGGTTAAGCGTTTTCTATTTCGTAAACAGAACATCGATGCTCCTCATGCATGTGTTGATGAATGTGTGTTTATTTGCTCTGATAGAATTTTATTTCCAACTATCAATGAAAACAATTATTTCTTAAAACTATATAGAACTATGCAAAATGGCATCTCGGTAAGAGTATTTGCACAATGAAGAAAAGTAATTATCTCTAAAGAGAAGCAAATTAACATAATGAAACTGAACTAGTTGTTAAGTATTTTTAAATGATCGTTGACATACAGTCAGAAAACTGAAAGGTAAATTTCTGTGTTAATATTATTAATAATTTGAGCAATATCCTTCATTTTATAATGTTCACATTCAAATATCGGTGTATTTCATGTATTTTTTAGATTTTTAGTGATTTTTGTTATTTATCTGTGGCTTCTCTTCAATATTTGACTCCAGTTATCCTTTTGGTCTTTTTGACGATATCTTTAAGAACTGCAGGTACACATTGGGATTATTGGGTATACTGGGTAGTCTTTCGTTATTCTTTAAGAACAGCAGGTACATATTGGGATTGTTGAGTATACTGGGTAGTTTTTAGTTATTCTTTAAGAGCTGCAGGTACATATTGAGCTTTATTGGGTATTTTGAGTAATCTTTAGTTATTCTTTAAGAACAGCAGGTACATTTTGGGATTATTGAATATACTGGGTAGTATTTAGTTATTCTTTAAGAACAGCAGGTACATATTGGGATTGTTGAGTATACTGGGTAGTATTTAGTTATTCTTTAAGAACAGCAGGTACATATTGGGATTGTTGAGTATACTGGGTAATCTTTAGTTATTCTTTAAGAACAGCAGGTACATATTGAGCTTTATTGGGTGTTGTGAGTGATCTGTAGTAATTTTAAAAACAACTGGTAATAATGAATTTATTGGAGATGCTTGTTAGTTTATATTACCCAAATCATTAACGATTCGTCGAATTCCAGCTACCTGGGCTCATATCATCAATTTCCAACTGTAGATAAAAAGGACCGCTAACCAGTTAGGACATGCTACAGCCGCCTCTTTCCCCACAATAATTTCCACCTTTACTTGCAAACATTGCGAATGCGTTTGTTTTGAGATTTTAAAGGGATGGGCCTCTTTTCCCTTCCTCAATAAAGATCTCCCTATGTCCCTCGGTTGTACGTACTTTGTTGCAAATAAAAGTTTCTCCGTTATATTGTCAAAGACAGTTAGTATAACTATTGTTATAAATGCATTTTCTTCACAGGTACTACCGACTGGGAGTCGACCAATGCTTTAATGAAACGTCTTCAGAAATCAATGCTCGTTTCAAATGTCACGGTGAACGCTGTTCAAAATCTACGTCAGGTGAACGTGTCGGAACTTGTCAGAGTTGTAACGTCATATTTCACGTGGTGGATATGCCTGGCGATGTTTATGACGTCTGCTTTTGGTGTTGTCTATCATCAGGTATTTTATGTATAGATGTGTACAGTGACGGTAAGAAATATGGTTATTTGTATTGGATTGGAATGGATTATGTTGAAGTCGGAAGCTCTTGGCAGAATTCATAGGTAACCGACTAGTTGTCAGATTTTATCATAGCTTACTCAAGTTTTATCAATCAGAGTCTGGGTAATGCAGTAGCGCTCTGTAATGTCCGACTGGCCCAATTTTGAGGACTTTAGGCAAATTAGATTTTATACATATTGAATACTATATGAAGGAATCGCCATGCTATAGTTATATTTTATCAATGAATATTGACTGATCATTACAATCAATATTACTTTTTGATTGTGTTCATCTACGTAACACAAACTTTGAATGTCAATTGTTGTCTCATTGTTTCATTTATGCAGATTTCGCTGTCTTTTGCTTTACAACTTCCTTTTAGTATTTTGTACATTTGAGATATTTAACAATTAGATTACTAGCTCGAGATTTTATGAGTTGATAGTTGATGATGGCGAAGCCTGATTAACGTCTTACGTCGGTTGAAATCGAGAAAAAATTCGTGAATGAACTCCTCTCGAATTATCGTTTCAAGTAAACAATCAAATTCATCCTATGACACTAAGTAAAACGCTAGAGAGAAACCATAATTTTTTGCTTCTTGCTATCTAATGAGAATTCGATAGGAAGTATAATAGCCAATCAAATACAGCATTTGCTATAGAATAAGAGTAGTATTCTTGTAATTACCAATTAGATTACAAGCAATCTAATGGTTTATTAGTAGAATCATCTTAATATTCATGAAGAAAAAGGTTGCCAGTAAAATTTTCATTAATTTGTTTTGTGCATATGTTGTTGACATCGCTATTGAAAGCGAACGAATGTTACTCGATACATATAAAGTTAATTTAAAGGAACTTTTTTTATTTTATATTTAAATATCGTTAAGTCGAATTTAGTGGCAACTTTACTCATCTCTTATATTGTCTTTCAGCTAAACAATAAAATAACCGTCAGAAACCTTAGTAAAACGCGAGACAGCAGCCATGTTTTTCGCTACCCGTTTCTCTTGCTTTGCTGCTCGCTATCTATGTAAAAATAGATAGTGAGTAGAGTAGCCAATGAAATTAAAGCATTTGCAATAGAGTACTAATATGGATCGACTAAATATTTTTTTTTGATGTATTGTTGTTAGTTATTACATTCAGAAAGTGTCAGGTACAATTTTACAACAAAGAAAAATAATTAAGCAAATAAAACAATCAAAGTCTGCAGCATTCCTTAATGCAAGTTTTGAACTTTCTAACTGCAGGTAGTTGAAATATTTGTACGATACGTTACACGACTATGACTATAGCCATTTACATATGTATGTATAATCATAGTCGTACAACGCATCGTATACATACATAATTTCAGATCGTTAATTGTGAGTAAATATATAGCAAGCGTCACCTCCCCGTGAAAAAATGCTCTTTGATTGACTCAGAAAAATTTTTGGCGGCCATTACTTTTCTAAACGTAATTTTAAAAAAATTGAACATATTACATTATTTAAACTGCCAAATTTTACATAATGAAAAACGGTATAAGCGAAACTATAAAACATGCAAAATGCGAGTTGGAGGTGAGCAATCAGAAAGCGAATTTTATTATCCAGACTACACATTTTCAGGGATTGGTTGCCAATGGCATATCAGTCAGGCTGCAAATTTGTCTTTGTTCACCAACGGTAAAAACAATAGATTATTAAAGAAATGAATAGTGATAATAATCTAAACTTTACGCACGTAGCAGGACGAAAACTAAAGTAGTTAAACTCAAGCCTCCCTAAACACCACGAAGAGATAAAATGAAAGTTTTATACTTGGTATACTTGGCGTAAGGCATAAAAGCTCGCTCTCGCTGCATTTGTTTATTTGTTTTTTTCTGTTCCAGCGTTCGAATTTTTTATTTTTTCGATCTCAAATGCTTGATCTTCTGTACATGTGCTTAATGAAGCCTTTTTAATCTATCGACATTGTTCACCACACAAATGAAATGTTCAAGACAATGCTCGAACCTGCTCGAAGATAAATTGGTGAACATATATATGTACAAGGTTGAGAAATTCATTTCAAATTTATAATCAAAGTTTTGGAGATTAGTAACGACAGGTTAGAGTTAAAGAAAGTTGTATTGCATCATCAGTTCACATGATTCTTTCAATATCTCTAACTTCCCCTATTGTGAGTTTCCCCCAGGGTAAACATAATCACAGAGTCCCATCTGCTTGATATCTTTTATGGGCTGAAACTGTGGTTTGTTGATGATATCCACCAACAAGGGATGAAGCACTATGGTGCCATGAATTAGATCATTGAATATCTTATGATCTCTCTTTCTTTGTACATGGTTGGAAGAAGAATCTCCATCTATACGTAAACTAAAAACATGGATAGAAACAATGCTTCAAGGTTTTTTGACCATACTTTCCTTTAAAAGAAACTCTGCCTTCTAGCTTTTCCATTCTCCTATTTTTTTAGTTCTCTATGGCTTTATACACAATATTCTCAAGGCAATATCTTAAAACAGTTAATTACTAGATGTGCAAGGACGTGCATCTTATAAGGAAATGAATTTAATATGTTAAAATATTAAACGAGCTTGCGTTTACATTGTCCTCATTTCACAACATTTGCTTTTTGCACTGATAAGATTTCCCAGGAACAAATTCAACAGCCGCTTCACGCGCCAAATTTATGATCATCTGTCTTCATTTGGATTCAACTACAACTTTCTCGGAGTTTTAAGTAAATGAACATGCATCGGATTTTATCACAGATTTTATCCCTTTTTGTCAGGGTGAAGTTATAAGCTCAGCAAACTTTGACTTATTAACAAGGGCGAAACTAAATCGCTAATTAGGGGAGGAGGGGAAATATATGAATATTCACCTCCCGCCAATTGGCGGTCTAGTTTCGTCTCTGCTTATCAAGAAGGAAATCTTTATGTAATTACTTTTGTTTAATTTGTATTAATGGAGTATACTTGGATAGTTGTTTCCTTAATAGAGACTTTGTCGTGGTGACAAATTTAAAAATTGTTTTAGAAAGGGCAAATACCTTGGTGAATGGTCAAAATAATAAAGTAATAGTTCCTAAAACTGTTTAAAACCAGAATATTAACCCAACAATTCTAAAAGAACTGTTTTTAAAGCTAAAAGACGACTGATCTGATAATAGACTGGATATAGCTTCTATAGGTAGCAAAAGTGAAGCCTAATTATATATGCAAAATGCACTTCCGGGTACCACAGAGATACAAATTTCTATAGAAATGTATGGCGGATAACTTTTATATACATAGATTTTCGAAGGCCTTTCGTGACCTTTTACTTATCTCAAACATCTGTCATGGATAAAACAAAACATCTGTTATGGATAAAACAAAATGAAAATAGGAAGAAAGCTTAGTAGATTTGTCTTGTTCCTACAACAACAGTACCCTGCTAATGAAGTCACGGCAAAAGTAACATACAACGTCTAGATATTAAAGAATGATGAAAGAAAGGTACAAAACGAATTTTTTTAACATCGAAACTCATTCTAGATCATAACTGCCTCTGAACTTGGAAAATGAGCTGTGAATTATCTTGCCTTCGCAACGATGGGGCAAATTCGATTCTTGCATGCGCAATTTTCAATTGAACACGAACGCCGATATTTTGCAGATATTGGTATCATTTTGATGTCAAACTGATTAACACAACTTGTTTTATCCATGACAGATGTTTGAGATAAGTATAAGATCACGAAAGCTCTTAAATATTCGAAAATCCATGTTTGTAAACGTTATCCGCCATACATTTCTACAGTAATTTGTATCTCGCCGTGGTAACCGGAAGTGGATTTTGCATAAATAATTAGGCTTCACTTTTGCTTCCTATAGAAGCTATATCCAGTCTATTATCAGATCAGTGTAAAAGACACAATGCATTTCGGCTGACTACTCATCAGGTGTCAACGTCTGCTAAATGAGAGTTTCGAAATTAAATGGGTGGACCTACAACATGCAATATTTGTAATGTTAAGAAAAATTTAACATCATCTATAAATTAGAGATGACGCATTAAACTGAGATGAATTAAACACGTAACCATTTTGTCGGTAGAGGACAGGATTAGACAACTTAATTAGTGCAGACTCCATGACGGGTAGCTGGAATAACAAGCGACATTTTTTAATTGTTGGAATATGAATTGGCACAGTTAGTGTTACTCAAAAGATGTTTTCCAATCGCTGAGTCACACGAAATCAAATATTCACTCCTACACTCATGTTTTGGTTGTTTTCGTAAGGGAGCAGTTTTATGCTTTAAGCAACATGTACCAGCTTCTATCAGGAATAATTAAAGCTGTTCCTTCACGACATGAACCAAAACGTGATTGTAGAAGGTGGAATGTTGATTTCATGTGACTCAACGACTGGGAAACATATTTCGAGTAACACTCACTCTGCCTATTCATATTCCGACCATAATGCTAGAGTTAAAAAAAAATGTCGCTCGTTATTTGTTAGGCGTTCTTTAATTAAGTTGACTAATCTTCCCCTCTGCCGAAAAAAGGATTACATTTTGATTACATGTTGAAGGATTACATGTTGAAAAAAGGAAAAATTGTCTTGTAAGTCACGTGACTGATGACGTAAGGCTTCTCAATATACGTATTTTTAAAAGCTATTTGAAATTCTAAACTATTGATGTTGTTAAGCTGGTTTTGTACTGGACGTTCAAAAAAATACAGTCAAATTCAAAACATATTTTATTTAGAGGACTAGACTATACACTAGTCAGTAGTAGTGTACAACAATTTATATCATAACAAGACTGGGTATATATATATAGTCTGATAAAAGAACAAGGGGTGATTGATGACGTTTCACTGAAAGAAATTCAATAGCTGTAATGGACGTTTACTTAAAGATTCAAAACTTACTTTAATCATGAATTTAATAAAGTTTTTACAAGCTTTAATCCCAAAGTAATAAGGTCCAGAAGATTCTTTGAGATTATATGTTATTTTTCTTCACAAAGAAGACAGGTGAGGACTGACTATAAAATCTTTTGTTTTTTTTTAAAGTAAGCGGCGTGCGAGATTCGCATGCATTTTTAAATGAAAGTTGAAATTTCATTATTGTACTTGCTGAATCATTTTATTGAATTTAATACGATTTGTGCTTATTTAACATAAACTACAAATGGCAAACGTTGAGATGTCGTTCGTCCCTATGTTTCACTTGTGCTTGGATCTTTTACATTTTTTTAGACTTTTACTGTTTTAAGTGCAATGTTTGCATTAAATACATGAGTGGTGTTTTGAATTCTAAATTCTGGATACGTTCTTGTGATTAAGTTATGGAGAAATTATATTAAGTACAATTTTAAATCAGCGATACTTAATAACAATGACACAGAATAAGAATGTACAGAAGGGTCACTCATGTTGGAACCCTTGATGTTTTTGTCAAGCTGATTGATAAGGG